AGCATCACGTGACTACCGCTGTCGTAAACAATACATTGTCACTCAGCAACAAAACTATCACTTGATCGTTCTTAGGTGTTTATGATGAATGCTCAATATTCATGTTGATTTGTGAGAAAGGTTTGTTTTTATATTCTTTATCTTTTTTTTTTTGTATAACTTTGGTGATATAACAGCAAAATAGTTTAATTCAGAAGTTTTATGACATTGAATTATAGCCAAAAGCAAAATAGAATTTACTAGGTAGTGTTTCAGTAAAGTCTTACATTATGGTTATGTATTAGGACTAGGAATGCATGGGTACCCGGCCAGGTATTGGGCTAACTGATAATACTCGGCTCCAGCCGTGGGTCAAAGTTAGGCATCTAAGCCCTAATCTTTGTGGCAACTAACGTGGTACTAAAAGTTACAGTCAATAATTGGTTCAGTTTTAAAAAAAAAACGTGTTCCGTGGAACAAAAACTGACCACCAGCCTGAAAGTCAGGGATTCAGAGAAAAATAGAGGTTAATAACAGGCATAGCTTGAGAAGTAGATTTCTGGGGAAGTTGGGTTATGGTTTGAGAAGTTGGGCTAGGCATTGAAATGTGAAAGTAAAACTTTAATGTTTTGTTGGTGATTATTAGGTTAAATGTAATAAACACCAATTTTATTTTTGTTCCTAATTTTTGTGTATATTGTGTTTTTTTTTGGGGGGGCAAGGGGAAAACCCGGTCCCAGTTGACACCTGGCCCCGCCTGAAGATTAGTGACCGGGTATCCAGTATTCGGCGAAATTTTACTATCCGTGTATCCCTAATTAGGACTAATACTTAAATTAGACTACAAATAGGCCTACTGTTACTAGCGTTATAGAGTCAGTGTTTAAAAAGTTTTAAGCTGTTAATTAATAAATATTCTTTTGGTATTTTAACACATATATTACCTAATTGGCCTTCAAACATAAAGAAAAATAAAGGTTTATTACCAACAAATATCTTTTATCTATTGTACAGTCGAAAGAGTTGAAAATTTGTCAGAATGTTCACCATGTTTTCTATTTTTCTTACCTAGAATACAGTGAAAAGGTCAAAAGTGCTATTTAAGTCTCTCTCAGTGTGTAGAGTTACTTCTGTTCACAATAACATTTCAATTTTCTGTGTAGTTTTTACTAAAAATGTGGTGATTAAAGAATTACTTCAAGACTGATGAAATAAGTGAAGAGTGGGGGTATGTTGGAGGTATAGACAAATTTGTTTTAGTTAAATTATATAATTTTCAATAACCATTCAACAATGGTTTCCTATCATTTTTACGCTAATAAATTGTAAGAATATATGACTGAAAGTAAACAAGAATGTAATAATATTTCAACCACACTATATCTACTATACCCAGTGCCGATGAGCCCTTTTGCCCAGTATCAGGGCCCATAAAGATGACTGGAATACAACAGAACATCAGAGTAGTCAATACATTAAGGAAAATGTTTTCAGTATGAATGAGATTAACTTTGAAAACTGTGATATTTATTACACATCAGAATTAGTCTTATAATTTTTATGAACCTCAGATTGTTTATCATAAGGTAAACTTGATTCACTGTAGCTTACTCCATTTTGAAACTGTAGGTCAGAACTTCCTCTCCACACCATAGGAGTAGTTGCCATTGCACACTTTGTGTTGGCAGTTCTGATTCAGGGACGTCAGGTGGAATGGACAGCCAGGTTAGACTATCTCTGGAATGCACAGGTACAATTTCACAAAAAATGTTCTCTTTCCTTATAGAAAAAATGTACACACTCATCCCAGTATTATGAAGTTTTTTCTACACACCCATCCCAGAATTTTCAAGTTTTTTCTACACACCCATCCCAGAATTCTTAAGTTTTTATCTACACACCCATCCCAGTATTATGAAGTGTTTTTTTTTCTACTCACCCATCCCAGTATTATGAAGTTTTTTCTACACACCCGTCCCAGTATTATAAAATATTTTTTCTACACACCCATCCCAGTATTATGAAGTGTTTTTTCTACACGCCCATCCCAGTATTCTGAAGTGTTTTTTTCTACACGCCCATCCCAGTATTCTGAAGTGTTTTTTCTACACGCCCATCCCAGTATTATAAAATATTTTTTTACACACCCATCCCAGTATTATAAAGTGTTTTTTTCTACACATCCATCCCAGTATTATGAAGTGTTTTTTTTTCTACACACCCATCCCAGTATTATAAAGTGTTTTTTTCTACACATCCATCCCAATATTATGAAGTGTTTTTTCTACAAACTCATCCCAGTATTATGAAGTGTTTTTTTCTACACACCCATTCCAGTATTATGAAGTGTTTTTTCTACACATCCATCCCAATATCATGAAGTGTTTTTTTTTCAGTACCAACTATATTAGTATAACAATTGCTTTTACTAAAATCTTAATACAAATTATTAACTATTAATTAAATATTGTTACGTCTCTGTATGTTTATTTGTTAATTCTTCTAAGATACAAGTCCTTTCTTTATAAAACTTGTTTATTCTTCCTCAATACAACTTTGTAATGTACTTAATTTTCACAGTTACACACACTATAGTTCACAACAATTCACTCACTTTCTATCTCGCTTAGACTTAATTGTCCGTCCCCGTAAACTATAGTTCCGATCTCTGTGCCTGCTATCCTCAGTTCCCGCCGACCGTAATCGCTGTCTTTCGTGCTCTCTGCTTCGTCTCCACTACGTCTCTGTCTCCACTACTGCTTCGACTCTGTCTGTCTCTTTCACTGTCTAGCGCACTTATATACGATAATACTGCCTGTTCTAGAAACTTCTAAGACTCTCAACACGTGCTACCAGCGTCAATTAACTCCCGCTGTCGCAACACACTAGCGAATCTTCTAGAATATTCGTCACGTGACCCCACTGTCGTAACAATATACCTGAAAATCTTGCTTCAAATCTCTAACTTCCAGTGAACTTGATTTAGTCCTTGTCATCTTCCATTTCTATGTCACAAAATGGTAAATATTTTGTTCACAATCAGACTTTAGTCAGTCATGACTGACACAGCAGTAGCCCAAAGATACATGTGTAGGCAGTATTAAGAACAAATATTAACTCGTTAAGAGAAAGGTTATATCTGATAATGTACTGCGAGTTTCAAATTTATGGTCTTTATAGGCAGAAGATGAAAAATATGAAATGGTTCAACTACAGAACAACAACGGTCGTATTTTATTTAACTTGCTTCCTTCTCATGTTGCCACTCATTTCCTAGACAGTCAATTTAAGAACAACATGGTAAGTAACTGGAATTTATATTTTCACATTTTACTCACTGGTAAAGCGCTTCCAATAACTTGTCCATCAGATAACTTAGAATCACTTAAGTTGGTTAATTCATATTTTATAAGATTAATACTAAGATTAGAGTTTCATTTATCTCACTTGCTTCTTTAAGTAATGTAGATTTTATTAATTGATGAAAGATATCGGGAAAATAGCTAAAAACCAATTTAATATTGTGAACCAAATTAACACAAGATTTTAAATCGGGTTTTAATGTAATAAGACATCAATACAAGCAAGAATTGAAAACGTTATCCTATGTTTGTATTATAACTGTGAATCTTGAGAACTGTACTATTCTATAGCATGGTTACTATTTGACTGTCAACATAAAACCTGTTTAGGGGTTTAGGTGACCTTTAATAATATATATATATAATTTGGATGTGTAACAGAATGTGATTATTGATATTTTTTAAATTTTCTTCTTAAGGTTCCACAGAAAACTTTACTGTTAACTGTATTATCTATGTTATATAACAGCAGGTGGTCAGACAGTTCACTACTGAACACTTTTTTGTTCCCGGACGTTTCACTACCTGATAATTTTCTGTCATAATCTCCCTTACATATCTTATTTAACATCATACAATAAAAAAATATTTCTTCAATATTAGTTCATTAGATAAACACTCAAGTCAGTAAAATATTAGTGAATATTTCTTCAGTATTAGTTCATTAGATAAACACTCCAGTCAGTAAAATATTAGTAAATATTTCTTCACATTTGTTTAATGAACTAATACTGAAGAAATATTCAGTAATATTTTACTGACTGGAGTGTTTATCTAATGAACTAATACTGAAGAAATATTCACTAATATTTTACTGACTGGAGTATTTATCTAATGAACTAATACTGAAGAAATATTCACTAATATTTTACTGACTGGAGTATTTGTCTAATGAACTAATAACTCCAGTCAGTAAAATATTAGTAAATATTTCATCAGTATTAGTTCATTAGATAAACACTCCAGTCAGTAAAATATTAGTAAATATTTCATCAATATTAGTTTATTAGAGAAACACTCCTTCAAAATAAAAAAGGCTCTTATGTTTTAAAACATTTTATTTAAAATAATGAAAGATCTGAACTTTTAAAAAATAATTCAGGTTTTCCTCGAATAGTTATCCAGCCATAACAAGTCATTTATATGTAGCTGGAACAGGTAGCGAAATGACCTGGTTGCAAACTGTCCTAGAACCATAACAGAATATTTATTATATTTTTACTATCATTATCTGTGGTTTTAAAAAGCATATACACACACATATACATATATCAAATGCACCATAGAAACAACTAGTGTGGAATGATTAGTAAAATATCTGTTTGGTGTCAAACACTTGGAACAGTAATATAAAAATTAGTAACTGCTCATTCTTTTCAGGACTTGTATTATCAATCTTATAATAAAGTTGCTGTCATGTTTGCTACCATCCCCAACTTTCATGAATTCGACACAGAAAGTGACTCTAGTGATGAGGGTGTAGAATGTTTGCGACTCTTGAATGAGATCATTGTAGACTTTGATAAGGTAAGAAATTTTGTCATTTCTGGTAGTTGGTTGCATTATTGGGAACATCATAACCTACTTAAAGTCACATTCTTATCGTGTATACTGTCACAAAATATTTTTCTCGGGTGTATTTATTAGATTCAGTTTTAGTTAAAGCTTGAGAAGACTGTCACATTTTGTTTTTTTAGCATATTGAACATTTTCAATATTCTTTGAGCTGTATTTATTGTTTGAGATTAAGTTTAACCTAATGAGGCCTGGCATGGCCAGATGATTAGGGCACTTGACTTGCAATCTGAGGGTCACAGGTTTGAATCCCCATTCCACTAAGCATGCTCGTCCTTTCAGCCACGGTGGCCTTATAATTTGATGGTCAATCCCACTATTCATTGGTAAAAGAGTAGTCCAAGAGTTGGCGGTGGGTGGTGGTGACTAGCTGCCTTCCCTCTAGTCTTTCACTGCTAAATTAGAGATGGTAAAGCCCTGATGTAGCTTTGCGGGAAATTCAAAACAAACAAAGAAATTTTAATCTAATGAAGAATGGTTTTAAACATGTATAAGATTCTGTAAATAACTGAATAAGATATTTCTTTTTTGTTATTTAACAGTTGTTGAATGAAGAAAGGTTTCGCAGGATTGACAAAATCAAAACGGTAGGAAGCACCTACATGGCAGCTGCTGGCTTGATACCTATGTGCTATACCTTTGTAAGTAAACATATTGACATTTCTTCAACATAAACTTAACACACTAATTTTTACCACATATTTTAAAAGGATGTAGATGTGTATGCGTGTTTAAAGCTATTTATAAATCTATTTATGAATCATTTGTATAATTACTGCAAACACACTCAACTTATTACAGTGCTTATTTGGTAACCAAGTGATCACAAATTACAATAAAGAACTAGTCCTAGGAAAAAAAGTTGAAGGATTTGTTTTTCACAAACTAAGAAACTATTTTCTTAATTTAAAAAATACTCATTATAACGTCCCAGTATATGATGATGTTCCTTCGATATGTTGTGCTCTATTCTTTAAACACTTAGAAGCAGTAGAATGTATAATAAAATTGTCTTCATTTTACTTCTACACATCTCACGACTTGTCGTAATCTGTACTAAAGCTAGTCTTTAGCTATGTCAAGAACTTACTGTTGCGTCAGCGAGGTCACGTGACTAGTGTCACGCCCCCTGCTTTCTGGAAATATCTTGTACCTTCGTGAAGTGTCGGGAGATTACTAGATACAGGGTAGCCTGGTATATATAAGAGGGTGACAACGTGACGGGGAATAATGTGTGTGTAGACAGTGAGTAATTGATCTGCAGTCAGAGAGTATTATTGAAGTTGAGCATGTTCGTTGTTATAG